GACATCAACAAAATACACTCTGGTGAAATTCTCCAGTTGCATTTACCCTGGAAAATTATTCTGTATGGGATCCCAGCAAGGCTGGATCAGGAGAAAGTGATAAGAATCATAAGTGGGGGAGGGGTAGGGAGATGCACTTTTATCCTCCAAGATTCATGTTTGCAATGCAGAAGGGTTTTCGGGTAGTATGGAAACAGTGGGGCCCTGATATGGACTACGAGGAAAACATCTTCACATTGTAACCCACAGATCTCCATGTGCATGGAGTTTGATCAGTATGTTTTTAAGAGCAGAATACAGAAAGAGGGTCTGCCCTAAAGGATGAAATATATCAAGATGATTTATACTAAAACTCCCCTCTCAAGGAAGGTTGAATCTCTGAAAGTCATCTTCTGACTACAATAATTTTATGTCCAAAAATTAATTCGTTCTTACTGCAAAGAACTTGCAAACTAATTTTTTTAAAAGTCACCTGTTGAGATTAGCTAAACCAAGGTCTCCATATATGTCCACAAAGTTCTGTACAGTTAGAACAGCCGTTCCAAAGCTGTGGAGCATCACAATGGATTTCACACTTTCACTAGCAAGTACAATTGTATGTACTTTCTACCACAGAAAAAGGAAGAAAATCCATGGAAGAATTAAAAATTTAAAAATAAATAAATAAATATATTTATATCCTCTTTCAATACTAATGTAGATTTCATCTTACATGCAGATCCTAGCCGATAATATATACACGTGTATTTAAGCAAACATACATCTGAGTATAGCATAACACACAGAAAGGAGAACCAGAAAGAGTAAATAAGATGTGTTAAGGGACAGTAGAAGACAGGGATTTCTTTTGGTTATTCTGAGATGCCTCGTTCATCCTAACTTTACTAAGGAACTTCTTATTTGGTCTCTAACACTGCCAGGTTCTTCCTGGCAGGGCTCTACATAATCCTTCAATGTATGGGGGAAATTGTTGTATGCTTTTGCTCCCCATACAACTCAGGTTTTCAGGGTTTACAGCAAATGTCCTTACCTAATTGAACCATCTAATCTACCCCTTGTTCTCTGCCTTGCCCATATTTCCAATCTACCAACAAATAAATTCCATTTCCACTATTTCTCAGGCTCTATCCGCTCCTCATGTCTGTGCTGAACATCCTCTTCCCAATTACTATCATCTTCCACCTCTATGATTTTCTTTGATTTCCATGAGGCCCAGATTCCACAATATATACAAAATTATTTTTATAAGACATGAATTAAGTCACCCCCTGACGACGTTAAGGGTCTTCCCCTTCCATTCAGCTAAAACATACACTTGTGACTAGAGCCTGTTAACGCTTCCCCACACATGCTTCAAGTTTGTCTCTGCCGCTCACCCATTTTGCAATAGGTTTGTGCTTTCTCTGACCTAAGGAGGATGAGCCTTCCCGAAGTCCTTTCACCCCAGAGTTCTCACTGATTTTCCTAATTCCTTTTTCTCATCCAGTGACACAGGCTTCCTGTGTTATTCTCTCTGTCTCTTGTTTTTGTGTAATTCCTGCCAGCCACTGTTATGCTTTTCATTTACATTAGCTGGGAAAGCAAAGCCACTGAGAGTAGACAATATCTACTTTGTCTCACTATTTTATAAACCTATCCTCAAACTATGAACTAAAAAAGTATACGTTAAATGTACTTAATAAAACAACTGTAAAAGCACTGAAAAATGTGACAACTTCAACATAAAATTTGTACCCACTTGCTTAGTGATTAATTACATGACTCAGAAAATGAGGTCACAGCTACAGCAGGCCAAGAACACAGGTGTTTCAGAAATAGCATCTGGAGGTAATTATTACTAATATTTTTGCTGGCAAAATACACAGGTGGATTATTTCTGTATACTATATAGACAAAAAGGCAAGGGACACATTAATCTCTTACAAAATGTAGCATTTTTCTATAAAGCACATTTACAAATGTAGCTACCATCCATTCCACTGAAAGCAACTTTACGCAAATACTTACATGATCATGTAAATCTCTGGATTAGATTGTGGAATGTGTCCCTATGTCCATGCCCTCACCTAATCCACACTACTTCCAAATGAGTGAGTCTTCACACCAGAGGACAACCGTCCTGAACCTTTCTCACAAATGACAGCAGGCATCCCGCTAACTGTCCTCTGCAGTTGCACATAACACCAGCCACCTTGCCAGGGCACGTAGACAGTATCAGGAGTCAGAAGTCTGGCAAAGTAAAAACTTTCTTCACCTGCAGGAAATCAGCTTGTAGAACAGTATATTCTAAGGCACAAAAGGTTAATATGTTAGTGACATAACTTTCTGTGATCCTTCACAATAATCCAATTTTCAGCCATATTATCCTGGCAGACTTTAAATTCGGAGCTCAAAGGCAGTACATGTTTGATATTTTCTTATAATTCTACAATGAAACCGAAGGCTTGGATAATTTGAGATCTGCATAGTCATGAAGATGAAAGAATGGAATGCAATCTGAACAGGAGCTTAAAAGGTAGGATCATTTCCCTGCAATACCTTGAAAGGGATGTGGCTTTGATATATTTGTAACAAGTCTCAGCTATGCTGCAGGGCAACAGATCAGTAAGGCCTTCTCTATAGGACTTTTATGAACCTCTGTAGACTGGAGACCTACCCATTCCTTGGTTTGTATGTTCTGAGGTCTGTGCACTTGCATAAGTCTATAAACAGCAGCTATAAACGTTAAGAACAGCAGGGTTTCTTCATACGAATTACAGATGACTGATAGATGATACACAAGTATTGATATAAATATACAGGTACATAGATATTGAACAGTTTGATTGCATGCCCACTTTATGTGTCTGTATATATGTTCAGACTACACACAATTATCACCATAATGTTAGATGACATACTTCTGCTCCTATAATAATCAGTGAAAGAATGAGCTAAAATCATTGAAGTTCCACTTTTCAAAGGTCACCTTGTACACTCACTGGCTCATTTGTAACGAACTATGGAAATCATGGGGATTTTGTTGTCTCACAGTACAATGACCTGATTATTATTATTACCATTCTGGTTCATTATCAGTTATGTATTATAGTTTCAAACAATGGATACCTACAAACCAGTCACAAACTAGATGTTACCATGAGGTGTTACTTTGAAAAAGGTACTCACTATGACAGCTGTGGGTCTTAGTCTTGCCTTAGTAGCTGCTGATTTGGAGCTGAGGTAGCATAGCTCACCCTTATCCCAGGATTATCAAGCAATGTCGGATGTATACCAGGAACTAAAGATATGTGTATTAGATTCCCTGAAAATAACCTGAAGGGATCTGCCAACTGAGTTATTGTTGAGTCAAAAAACTTCTGTCTTGTACCAGAACTACTCCAGTGAAGTTATCTTCCTTTCTATACACAATCTTACTTTCCAGTACCCTAAATTGCTTGTCAGGACACTCAACCAAAAATACTCACTCTGTAGTTTCTTCCTTGAGAAACCTCCAACTCAGGAAAAAATGACAAAAGCATATAGGGAAAGTCTACTTGGCATGTGTGTATACAGTTGCAAATGTATTGACTTTGAGCCAACATGAGCTCAGGAAGTAAACAATCTCCTAAGTTTTCTTGAAGCCTCATTAGGTTACCATTGTCTAGATCAATTTCAGCTGCAATGGTCTCCTTGTTGCTGTGGGGGAAATCTGGCAGAATGACTTTCTAGTGAATGTGTGAGGTATAATCACTGATGGTCTGAGAACTTCTAATTCTGAGGACAACAGACAGGCCTCCAGGTGAGCTCAGCTACCCTGCTCAGGTGACCATAACTTCCTACCTTCTTTCCTGTTGCTTCAGCTCCTGTCAGTCTTCAGGCTTTCTCTCCCCAGACACATCTCAGCATTTGACTCATTGGCAACATAGCTGTTTCACATTGGAGGCTTGTCTTTGAGGAAATTAGTTTAGCTTTATTTGAGGGATGTCTTATGCTCTCAGCTATTCCTCACACAGTTTTTCTCTTTCATGTTTTTCTGAACAGAACTTTCCTCTGGTTCTGCCACCCAGAGTGATTTCTGAGGTGTCACAGTGTGTGCAACAGGATGAGCAATGTAGTCATCACTGCATCCCAAAAGAAACCTGTCCCTTTATACACTAGCTTCTGTGTACTCTTATGTGTGCTTTATTGGGATTTGAAGAATCATGAACTGAGTCCAAACAATTGTCTCTGAATAAACTGAAATGATGACAGTGACTCAGACATGCCTTATATGCAAATAAAATTAAGAACTATTTACATTTTCTGTAGTATCATATTTAAAATGAAAAACTATCCAGAAAGCTTTGAATAGAATGAAGATATACACATACATAAATTGTTACAGAATGACTAATAACTTACACAATACACCTTCTTACACTAAACATCAGATGGAGGTGGTATTTACAACATGTAACATATTATTCCAATTAATAGTTTCAGTGAAATATTTTTGGATAATTATCTGAATATGGTTCATATATTAAGTCTTAAAGACAGTATTTAAGGAACACCCACTAGGGAGATTATACACTGAATATGTAAAATGTGAATAAATAAATACCAAAAATACAGATTATTTACTTATGTGTTATTGGTTAAGTATAGTTATATGATAGGCAATTCTGGCCTTTGTGGTCTGACATGGTTTTCTTGTGTAATCGTATTTCTTTAGTTGTCATAAGCCTCAAGGCTTCAGGATCCTTTACTGAAGATGAATATACCCTAAGAGGCTCACAGCTGAACGACTAAAGGCAGGGGCTTGCTTCTCACAGACACAGACTGACCACCACACCACTGGAATCGACTATAAATGGTGATGGCTCAAGAAAGTAGTTCTGGAACCCTATATAAAAATTATTTCAAATATCAATTCAGGTAGGATACTAAACACACTCAGGAAAATTATCAAATATTTTGAAAGAAATCACCCTTTATTTAAAGTTGAGTACGTCCGTGAAAACCGAGACGGCACTTACCTGGATAACATGCTTCAGTTTATCAACAATCTGATTGATCACAGGGTCAGCTCCTCGGACTCTGACTTCGGGATTTCCAGACTGGGCTTTCATTCCGTTTCCAACCACACGTTGAGCATAGCTGACAGAGTGAAAGAAAGAGTTATGTCTTGGAGACCCGGGCAGCAGCAGCCTTCAGATATGCTTGAGACATTTGGGCTCAGAATTTCATTCTCTGGGAATAGACACCAGGGCTGTGCTTCTCAAAATATAGAGGGATAAACTCTCTTACCATTCTACTGAGGCAGAGTGTTTATAGTGAAAATAGAAAAAAAAACGTTTTTAACAACATGATAAAAATGATAAAACATGCTGGTGTGAGTGTGTGCATGTGTGGGGAGGGGCATGTGCACATATGTGCACACACACAAGTGAGATGTTAATAATTCCAAATAAATAACATATGTCTACAGCCACATTTTCTGCATAATTTACTTTAGCAGCATTTAGAGATGACCCAGCGCAAGTATATATATTCAAACACAAATATATTTTACACATACATATACATGCATTTAGATACACAGCCAAAATAATTAACTTTATAATGACCTAAAATCCACAGATTTTTTGTACATACAGAAAATAATACACTTTCATTAAACATGTTTTGCAAACATTAGTGATGGGATGATTTCATAGGCAGTAGAGCATACTAGAATGTCTGCAGCCTTCACCAAATGACAGTAATGTAATATCAACTTGTTATTCAAGAAAATATTTATTCCTAAATATATCAATTCCTACTCAGCTTTCTGTACAAATAGACTAAACAAAAAAGAGGTATAATTCTTGATCTCACAATGCTCATTAACAACCTGCAAATGTAAAATGCCAAGGCCGATCAAATAATCTATTGGCGCATTCATTCACTACATTTTTTTCACTAGATTTCAAAGTTACCGAGTAGAATCCAGCTACATGATTGCACTTGTTTTCAGACAATATACTGCAGCCTTATAAGCCAACTGAGCAGTCAAATGCACTACTGTGGAGTAATAGGGAAGCACTGTACATAGCACACAGCAACTGTAAAGCAACTAAAACACAGGCGGCGTGCACTAGAAATATGGGGAAGTCTGTCTGGGAAAGCAGGAAGGAATAAGTATTAAGTGAGATGCTAACACAGGAAATACTAAGTAAGAATGGATCTTCATGGAATGGTTAATGAGATTTCTGGAACAAAGAATAGCGTTCTTGAAAGGACGACATAAAAAGCATGTGGATAACATACATAGGGGAGAACCTTCAGGCCTCTGTCTGCACAGGGAAGGAACCAGCTGCTGCTGGGAGCTTCTCTCCTCTGTGAGTAAAACCACCTCTAGTAATGTTTTTTTCTTTTTACGTTGCAACAGTAAGAAAGCTATAGGGACTTCTCCACAGAGATGCTCACATCATTTTACTCATTTTCCTTCCTTCTTTCTGAAGAGTTTGTCACAACTGTTAACATACCTTCTCCCAAAAAATTCTAAATGAAGTTTAAAATAAAAAAAGACCCCCTAAATCTGGGTGTCAGTGAGGAGGCCTAGGGAATCTATTGAGCCTTGGGCAGCAGATCAGTACCCATCCCAAGTATACACACGGACTTTGGACTCCCATAGAACAATGTGAGGTGCACTCTCACCCTGAACTCTTGGGGAAGAGTCTAGGCCCTGCCCTATATGAAATGACAGACTATGGACACCCCCATGGAGGGCCTCACCCTCCCTGGGGGAATGAGGGGATAACGGGGGGGGGTTGGAGGGAGGGCACGGGAGGAGGGGAGGGAATGGGAGAGGGACCTGGAACTGACTTGTGAAGCAACCTCGTTTCTTATCTAAATTTAAACTGGAAAAAATAGAAAAAAAGAAATAAGATGCTTAGAAATAAAAAAAAAACAGTCTTTCAAAACTGTTCCACTCTTATGAGCACAGGCATATGCAACAAGTTTAAGGAATTTGCATCTCAAAATGAGGATTAAACAATCCTTAACTGTATTAAATAACAGAAACTCTGACACTGATAATGCTAGCTAGATACAAATAGTGTAATATTAATCTGTGGCTGGCAACTGTTTAAATCTTGATATGTTCAAAACAATCTGGAACTCACTTTTTTGTGTGTGTGCAGTCACAATAGCGCTTAGCAGTGCTTTCCCGGTATCCACTGGGGATTGGGAAGTATATGCCAGCAGACAGAAGGAGAAGGTGTGAAGGCATCCTCTTCTTAAACACCAAGGAGCCAATTAGCTGATCAAGTCAAGAGTCTTGTCACTGCAGTTTCTTCAAAATATAGAATGCGGTTTCTTGGAATGTGGTTTCATGCCCCTCCCAGATATAAGGGGTAAGATAGAAGCGAGTTTACTGAAGATTATTCATTACTACTGGCTACTGATATTTGTTTTTACGCCTGTATGGGAAAACATGTTTTCTGTCACATACAACTTGTCCTTGTGTTTGTACCCTTTAATCATGTGACTCCTCTTAACCCTGAAAGCATAAATTGTATGATGCTCTGAATAAAGTTGGCTATTTCGTGAGTTTAGTTTGCCTCATTTACGGCTCCATTCTCCCTGGTCCCACCATCAACTAGATCTGTAAACAAAATACATAACATAATAATTGTGATTCACACATTTCTTTAGTTATTCGATGTGGTGACTGTCAATTCACCATTAGAATGCTGTTCAATGATCATGAATTTGGGTTTAATTGATCTAAAAGAAACAAGAAGCACAGAAGTATAAAGTTATCTGCAGTTTCAGTAAAATGTCTATTTTTACATCTGGTCCTCAGTTACTGAGACAGTTGGGATGGAAAGGCAGGTTCAACATTTAGAATCAGAACTTCTCCAAAAGCTAAATTTGTCCGAGAATTCTCCAGAGCCCTTGGGAAATCTTCCTCCTAGTTTCTTCTTCTCTCATTTTCACTCTGAGTCAGACCAGGAAGTATTTTAACATGCAATGATAGGCCTTAGTGGTAACCTGAGGAATTGCATGCTTTTTTGTGTTTTATTACCACTATGATACAGCTAACTATACAAGTCCAGTTACAGAATCATAAGTTCAGCTACTCTATTATTAAATATTTGAGTTACCTCCTCTAATTATTATTTTGATTGTAAAATCATTACAAAATGATATTAAAAATTAAAGTAGAATATGATTTATTGAAAGCAGTTGTTTTTTCTTGTTTTATAAGAATGACAGTCTGACATAGTTTAATATTCACATTAAAATGGTTCAAGTACAGGAATATATTTAAAGAACAGCTTGTTCTCATCAACAAGGATAAAGGCAAGCACACACACACACATATTCACTAAAACATACAACACACAAACACACATGGAACATACACACACATATACATAAAACAAACAAACACATATACTTACACACACACTAAGACACACTATAAAAGAATAATTGTTGATTAACAAGACGTAAGTCTGTGTTGGGCACTTATGACACAAATGAAATGCTGGTAAGTCTACATACAGTGGCTGTATGTATGACTGACTTTATGAGACAGAATTATGGGAATAAGTAGGAAGTATTCACTTGACTCCTAACTTAACCAGAAATTCCTTTTTGCATTCCTACAGTCATAACCACTGATAGATACTAATTTTATAGAATTCAATATAATTTGACTCAGATCCACTTCAGAATTATAATATTATGATGTATAGTTACCACGATTGATAATAACAGAATTTGGCACTGGGTTATAAGCAACTTAAAATGATCTAACATAGGCATGGTACAGGATGCAAGGTGCAGTGGCGATTCCAGATGAGTAACACACTTGATCAGGCGTTTATCTTTACCAAAACTGCAGTACATATGAGCTGTTACAAACCAAAAGTGGAAACCTAATTTCTGATGTTATTTTTGTTGTTTCTACTAAATTTTTGCATGACTGATTTTGTGGTTTTATATTCCTTTCATGTCTAGAATCCTAAGTGTCAAACATTGCTACAAGATAAAATTCTGGATTTACAGTTGGGCCAATAAATGTGTTGCTGTCTGTAACCTGGGAGGAAACACAGGCTATAAACTATACTGTGGATATTCTTCAGTGAGTTCCTTGTAAAATAATAAATTACTTTAAAACTCTCTTTTGCATCTCTTTCTATTTCTGATAGTAAATATGGTGTAAATACTGGCGATTTGGCTGGAGAATCCCGCTTATAGTCTTGGGTTATACTGAATACCGTTGCTGAGTGCTGTTCTCTGAACATTTGGTCTATACAACAATTTTCTCTACATGAAAAGTCCTAATCTTTGAAACCTTAGCCTAAAAAGAACTCTTATGACTGACTTTATGAGACAGATTTATGGTAATAACCTTTCATGGTAGATTGAGGCTCACAGAACTTTAGAGAATAAAGATAAAGTAGAGTCAATTTGCAAAGATTAAACTCTTTATGGTTTCACATCGTTACTTCAATTGTTAAGACAGATAACCAGTTTTAATCTACTAGTTGCTATTTATTTAGTTTTTTAATTACATGTTAATCTAATTATGAACATTTTATCTCTGATTTTACTGAAGTGAAAAATAAATATAATTGAGATTATATGCTTGGTATTGTTATTAGTTACAAATAAATCCTGTTATAGATATATTTTGGGATACGTTTTAGATGGGTATAGTTAATGTTTTTTTTAAGTCAGTATATGCTTTACTTACAATGAACTTTTGGTATATCACTGAGATAAATCAATTAAGAAAATGTACATTTAAAATGATTCAGAAAGCATTAACTCATTAAAAAATGTGCATGAATCAGACTTCAGCCTCATTTTGTTTGGCAAGACGTGCATCGCAATTGCCAGGTTGACCATGAGAAGCACAGGTAAGCAATTTCATAATGGTTTGTAAAAGAAGCAGCTGTGTGAACCAGAGAGAACATATTTCATCACAAGAACCATCTGCACCATTTGGAGTGAGCAGGAAGCTAACACTTCAGAAAACATTACACAGGGCTGGGCATACGGTGACATATGAAGAAATACTATAGATATATCACATTAGGTAAAATTCAAAGCAAGCTAGAAGTCTAACTTGTAATTATCATCTTTTGACTACCCAGACT